ATATATATATATATATGTTAAACGAACAATCCTAGAAGCAATCTAGTTTGTCCGCTCCAATATCTGCTTGGTTGGCTTACATTCCGATCTTGGGGATCTATTGTCCGTTATCAGTGACCTGTGACTCACCCGGGGTGACTCATAACTGCCCGCGTCAAAAATTGCCTGTGCAGCAAGTCGGGCAGTTGTCTGTCAGTTGCCGACATTTAAACTTTTTGCTATTTCAGTGATCAGCCAGTCACCAACCTAACCACTGGGAACCATCACCCATTTCTTAACTTTCTGTTAGTTTAACTTAATGTTAGTTTATTTGCAAGCTGTGAAAGCATGTATTTATTAAATGATGGATCCTGCGGATACACAAGAAATCCACGTATCCTGACGTACACCATCGTATTTAATATTTTTCAACACTTCTCCATCCCATTTTAGTAGGTGTAGCCAATATTAATCATTACTTATTCTCACTGAAGAAAAGGCCTGAAAAATCATTGCCATGATCTATTATAAAAAATATCCGATCCCTATTTAAAAGGTCGTATATCAAGGACAAGTCATGGAAAATCAACCCTATTGTTATCTTCGCTACAGCGAATTATTTAATCAGGAAAGGATAGACTGCATTTGTTTTTAATAAAAGTTATCCGTTTGACCTGACTTTGTCGTTATTTCTGTTTTTTATCGTTCACATTGCCTTGATATCACTAAAGAATTACTTATTACTAAACAGAAACATTGATCTCGTGGGTCGACTCCTCAAGTACCCAGCGAACACAGAGTCTCCTTCGACTGATCTAGAAAAGATCGAAGCGACTCTGCTAACAGGGTACTCCTCAGGACACCGACCCAATGAAATATAATGAGCCTTGTTATGGGGACGTAAGTCCAAATCCTCTTTAGACCTCTTTGAGATATTCGATATTCTACTCAAACACTCTCTTACAATCGAAGACTCCCAGCGTCATTGTAGGAATTTCTAACGTAGGTAATACCCTGTTGCAGGAATATAGTACAGTACTTGAATCGATCCGAGTAGTGTTTATGGACAGGTAAAAGAGGGTCACCATAGTTTGCGTCAGCCACATGTAATTACTTCGAGTTTTGATTGGTTCAATGTATTGTCTGTGTCCTATGTGATTGGCCAGAGTAATTACTTTGGTTTTGGTTTTACGACACTCAAACGAAAACCACTCTATGGGGACGTAAGTCCAAATCCTCTTTAGACCTCTTTGAGATATTCGATATTCTACTCAAACACTCTATTACAATCGAAGACTCCCAGCGTCATTGTAGGAATTTCTAACGTAGGTAATACCCTGTTGCAGGAATATAGTACAGTACTTGAATCGATCCGAGTAGTGTTTATGGACAGGTAAAAGAGGGTCACCATAGGGTTTTTTAGTCCCGTCATCCTGATCTAATTTTTTCCTCTGTCCCGTAATGGTTTAGCCTGCGAAAACATCCGTTTCTCCTCGCTCTTCGCCGCTGGGGACGTTTCGCGAAACGTCCCAGGCGGCGAAGAGCGAGGAGAAACGGATGTTTTCGCAGGCTAGTAATGGTTATTTTCGGTATCCCGCATGCCGTGCCCTGGGTGCCATGCACACTTTCTTTTTTTAGTAGTAATTTTACATTATCTACTACTTTACAGTCTCTTCGAAGTCAATATTCCGTGTTTATTTTATTCTTGTTGTTGGAGAGGTTTTCTTAAATATTCTTGCTCTATAATATCAAATGAGGTTCAGTGAAATGTTTCTACGTCATCATTGCCAAGCCCTTCACAATATTTCCAAGTTAGCTAGACATTTTTTCTCTAATACTGATTTCTTTGCTACAGCTGTAGGTTCTTAAACTGTAACCAAAACAAACTTGGTGTCAACACGTGGTTTTAGGCTACCATACACCGAAGACCAACCGGGCAAACTTAGAAACTAATATAGTAGCACTAGCACTTTACCTGTCACTGCCTAGAGGGAACCCGGTAATTATTGGTGATTGACGAAAGTGGCCTATTCTTTGAAGAACACTCTTCCAACCAGATCAATATATGCATGAAAGTCGTAATATGATTCAGCATTTTATATATCTACATTCATTTCACTATCGAACCAGTGAAGCCACTACTACTTTCAAGCTTCATTTCAACAAACGCTTTTCGTCGTCTACCGCCGGAAAACAATGTCACTTTTTGGAAAATATCCGTGCGATAGTGTACCTCATCCACCG